ATGCTTGGAATCCCGGCACTGGCACAGCCATCAACATTCATTGGTGCTAAAAAAAAACCCAAGAAAATGAAGATGGTGTCAGCAGCAGTATTTATATCCGTATATATATCTCAGTATTTTCTTAACCTGTGTCTAGCTAGGAAAAACCACACAAATCTCACCCCAAATTATGTCCCTGTTCAGGGTTTCTGTCTGCCCTGTGCCAAACCCTTGTGGTGTTGGGGAAGAAATGTCTGCAGAGGGTTTGGGCTCAGTAGCAGTATTTATATCAGTATATATATATATCTCAGTATTTTCTTATCTGGTGAGATCCCTGTGTCTAGCTAAGAAAAACCACACAAATCTCAATCCTAAATTATATCCCTGTTCAGGGTTTCTGTCTGCCCTGTGCCAAACCCTTGGGTGTTGGGGAAGAAATGTCTGCAGAGGGTTTGGGCTCAGAGGGGACAAGAGGCCCTGGGCTGTGACTTACGTTGGGTGGACACCAGCTGGTAGAGAGGGAGCCCCGTGCAGAGATTCTCAATGTACTTCCCATACAGGATCCAGTCCTTCAAACGCCCCAGCCAGGAGGAGCCACTCTGGAACTGGGCCCAGACGTTGTTTGGGGAGTACACATCCTTCATGGTCTGGGGAGAAATGTTCAACACCACCAGAAATGGAGCTTGAAGATTCACTTCACCCTTTGAAGGTTCCCAAATCTAAAACCACCTTCCTTTGCTTCACAAAAAAAACCCCAACATTTGCTAAAGAAGCTTCATGCTTTAAAGAAAAGAATAATTTCAATCTATTCAGTAACAAAATTCACGAGATGTTAAATATGCCTACACAGCGATTGTTCATTGCTGCCATGATAATTTATATTATTGGCAGCAAGTTCTGCTGGAAATGTGCTAATGGGATGACACAAAATGGGCCAGTTCAGCTCCAGGCAACACTTCCAGTCTCCTGCTGAAACCTCAGCCTGAATGAATTCCAAAATCTGGTTGAAGTAAATTGATCTCTACCATTCTGAAAAAAAATAATAAATCTCAAGCAATGTCAAGGTGAAAATATCAGCAGGACAATGAGTAAAAGGAGAGTTTGCCTGAATTTATATTGTGATCACCTCAAAACAGCCCAATCACAGCAGTTCCAAGGACAGGGGGTTGTACAGCTCGAGCCACCTCAACAAACCCCCATAAAACTTCAGGGGGGCCACGATGGTTCCTTATCTTAAAAGATCAGATGTTCTTATCTAATTTCATGTTCTGCATGAAATTCCCTTCAAGCTGTGCCTTGCCAGAACAGCCCCACCAGTGCTAGGACAGCACAAAGTCATCCCTGAGGGGCTGTAGGGCAGGGTGGAGGCTGCTCTCACCCCTCTGCTCCCCACACCTCACCTGTCTCTCAAAAGCCAAACGCCCGATCTCCCGCAGCTCTGGGATCAAGTCCTTCTTTATTTTCATGATAAAGCAGGCGTTTCGTGAGAATAGCCTGGTGGCAATATAGCCCTGAGATGGAAAGAATCGAGGTTGAATCGTTAGAAATGGCTCACAATGACATTTGTTGGTGTTCTTTACTCTTTGGGGCAAGCTGGGAGGAACAGCGAGCGGCTGCTGTGGAATGAATGCGTTGCCTTGGTTTGGGGAACAAAGTCCTGGTGCTGTCCCTGAGGCTGGAAGGGACATTTCTGACAGACTTGTGCTGCTCACCTCCAGCCCCACTGAGCTCAGGGACCTTCTTCTCACTTCCAGGAGCTGCCAGCACAGGTTTCACCACAATCTTTTAAAGAGGAAAGGAGGAGGAAAGGTGCTGGGAGTCCTCAGAGAAACAATGTTCTGGGACAGGATGTGGTGAGAACACACTAAAATAATTCCTGACCTTAAAAACTTCCTCAGGGGTTAACTGGAGGCAGATTCTTGGATTTACTCACGTGTGTGTAGTCAAAAATGGTGTCTGAGGAGTACACGCCGGAGCGGACGTGGACATCGACGATGTGCTCCTCGCTGTGGATGGTCATGGTGCCAGTGACATAATTGCTGACAGGATCCCGCAGGACAAAGGTCTTTGGTAAGGAAAAAAAAGCACAAAATCATTGCTCATCACCTGGCTTCCACCTTGAGCAGGCACAACAACCCCCGGCGCTGTGTGCAAGGATCATCGCTCTACTCACGTCCAGGGCAGAAGTCTGAGCCCAAAGGACTCCCAGGAAAATGAGGATTGCAGCCTGTGAAAGGAATCAGAATTCTCACTGCTCAGAAACACCATAAAAAAACCCAGTCCATGAACTGAGGGAAGGAGCTGGAGCATCAGTTTGAAAAATTCCCCACTTAGTGAGTATTTTAACTGAGAACAACCCCAATTCCTCATTGCAAAGCTTTTGCTATCAGGCTCTCCTTTGCCTGAAAAAGCAGAATAATTTAACCATTACATTTCTGCAGTTTTCAGAAGCCCCTCCTTGATGCCATTTTACTTCTTGATTTGCCTCTACAACTGCAATTATGAAATCATAATTAAACCCCCCCTTCTGAAGTGCAACCACTTCTGCATTCTTTACTCAAACGAGGCTTCCACTGACTTTGCTGAGCCAAGAATTGTAAATTCTCCTCTTTCCACCCAAAGAAACAACACACAGATCACATTATTGTCCCTCTCCGTTGTACCACTTACTTGAGCATCTTCTTCTCTACCCTTTGCTTTTTAAAGGTGAGGAACTTACAGGATTAAAAGTCCAGCAGAAATGGAGACACTCACCAATGTCTTCATTTTTCTTCCAGATGAGAACAAGAGGCTGCAGAAGGCGAGAACGCAAGGAAGTCCCAGAGACCTTCAACTTTTATATCTTGCTGGAGGTGTGGGAAACACTTGACAGAACTTTCCTTCATGACTCGAGCAAGTCCATATCTACGTGTCGTAAGCCTCCTATCTGAATTTTGGGTTGGCACAGATAACCTGACCCAGATATATTTAAAACAGTAAGACTCAGTAAATCAATCACTCTGCAAATGGCTATTATTCACTGGTTTAAACTTTAGTCTTGCTGGTTCTATTTTTTTTTCAATATTTAACAGGATATTATCCAGAATGAAATGACACTGGGAATAGCACTGCTGTTTATTCACACAAACTGCATTTTGTCTTCTAAAACACAAGTCCCTAAGAGCCTGATGGATGGTCTGCAGGGAAATGCTGGGAAGAAATACGTGTGTCATGGTGGCCTCCAGGTCAGCCAACAAAAAATCCATTTATTCAGCCATTTTTTCATTGAAAGTTTTGGATGGGGCCCTAAGGCAGCTGACTGAGCTTTATTTACTGGGAATCTGTGCTCTGCTTCTGATTAGGCATCAGTGGGTTGTACCTGGGTGATCTTCCCTTCCATCCCACACCATTGTGGGGCTCTGTGATTCCATTCCCTGTGCAGAGACTCCTGACGTGAGGTGCTGCTCACTTTTGATCAGAAGCACCCTGAGCAGAGCTCTGGAGGGAGTGACAGAGCTGGGAGCAGCAGTTGTGCCCCACAGGACAGCCCGGGACACTTCTGGCCTCCCCAGCACAGCCAGGAGTGCCATGAAAACCCAGAGGTTCCCTGGTGCACAAACTAAAGGAACAGGATGGGATTCCCCCTCTGAAACCACCCCTGATTTCTGCATTTTGTGAAAATGCCAATGACCACGATGTTGCCATGAGAATGAGGTGATTGAACCTTTTCTTGGACTCCTCCTCATCTGCTGTCCCACAGCAGCCAGGGCTGGATGAATCACACTCTGCTTTCTACTAGAAGGTCATAATCAAGGCTGGCTCCCTCCTAAAAAAAACAAAAACTCAAACTAACAGCAAACACATTTCTGTAATTTCTCTTATCAGAAGAAAGGAGAAGGAGATTGTACGGAATTATCTCTCAGCAAACAGGCCTCAATGGAAAAAGAAAAAAAAAAAAAGAAATTGCACACATTTGCTTTATGCCACCTAAGTCCACACAAGAAAAGGTTATCTCAGGTGGAACAATGCCCTGCTGCTAAGCAATGTATCAGAAAACACATAAACAGATATCAAATTCTGCTAAACCCAGTTAGATTAATTAGGTTGATGTTGCATTCCTCTTGAAAGCTGCCTCTGTCCCTTCTTCCAAAAGATTCTTTCGTTTTAAGATTTCAGGTATGTCAGAAATACTCAGAGTAGATTTTGAGAGTCGAGTAAGTATTTCACAGCAGGACTATAACAGGGTCCAGGCACTATCAGTTTAAAAAAACCCCTTAATTTAACTTTTCCTCAGTGATTCAGCCTTCATGTACTCATCTTGTTTGAAGAACACCTGAGAAGCAGCACAGGTAAGGGCAGAGCAGGGAAAATCAACTGAGGGAGAACCACAAGAGCAGCCAGGGTCTCAGCACCTGCACCTTGCACTCAGCTCTGCTGATCCCATCGGACAAAGACAAAACCCAAAAGTTCATTTCCCAAAAGTATTTCCCTGATTAACACGATTGCAACAGGACCCAGCCTGAGCTGGCTGTCTCGGGCAAAGCCTTTGAGATAATTCCAGTAGGCAAGCCTCGCTTTTTGGAGACTTTTTGCCCACAGTTGGTGTCAAATCTGCCAGGAGCACACCTGGAAGCAACAGGCAGCAGCTCCAACACCTGAAGGCAGCCTCTGATGGAAGAACTGAAGGGAGGAGCGACCAAAAAGGGCTGAATCCCCTCTAATTTCACTTTCCTTGGGCAGAGTGAGGCTGAGTTTACGAAGCTGTGACTCAGAATCCCTCAGGGAACTTTGCCAACTCTGGTTTTTGGTCCCTTTCTCAGCCCTCAGCCCCCTGCTCTCCTGAGGAGGCTCTGAAGATCCAGGGCCTCCTCTGACAGAAAGCAGATCCTGAGCGAGCTCAGAAAGGAAGAAAAAAAGAACTCAGCAATTCCTAGGATTTAGAACCACCCTCTTCACCTCCAGGGACTCACTTCACGTTTTTAACATGGCAGGATTAGCATCTCCAAGGGTTGGAATTGTGCTTTTGGTTAAAGGCCCAACTTCAGGCCGAGGCCTTTGCCACACACAAAGCGTCACTGCGAGTTCATTGGGGATCTGTGCTCTGCTGCTGATTAAAATTTCTTTTTTCCATTTTAAAGCAGTTTTGAATGCATTGAGCTCACCACGAGCAGTTTTCTCTCCCTTCCCCGTGTGCAGTGAATTCAATCAGGCAGGTATCAAAGCCTCATCTTATCAGAGCACTTCCCCAGGAAACTCGTCATGCTTCTGTGAACACAGGGCACCTGCCAATAAGGCAAACCCATTTTCAGATTTAACTTTGGGATATTATGTATAAAAAGTAAGAGTACACATCAATTACCAGCAGAGCTGGCCTGGCCTACCATCCAAATGAAGTTGCCTGTAAGTATTACCTATCACTTTCTCATCAAACTCTTAAGGCTGGGCAGCTTTTAAATGCTTTTGAGCTTTTCCTGGCACTGAGGGAGCTCTGAGTGATTTCTGCAAGTGAAAATGCCAAAGGGGTGGGGACTGCAAGGGAGAAATCTCCCTTTTGGCAGGGATGGAACTGCAGATTCCTGCTCAAAGTGTGAGAGAGAGAAGTGCTCTGTCCCGGGGGTGACACTCGTGACACTTCCACGGGACAATATTCTCTCTTTCACGACTCAAATCAACAGTCCCAGCAAGTCCCAGCGAGTCAGGGCTCAGCTGTTTGCTGAGACCCATAAAAGTTTGTGTTTGTGGGACACATAAAAGACTCAGCAGCCTCAAACTGGTGCAGGAAAAATTTTTTAAGACAGCAAGAAATTTGATGCAAGATAAGCAGCACGATGTTTGAGTATTTTGAATTTCAAATGTTCATTTCAGATCGTGATTGCTTCACTTCTTGGAGTTTTCTTGGCTCCTGCTCTTGCCAACAATGTAAGTACAGAGCTACACACAGCTACTCACCACTTCCACACTCTTACCTCTGAGAAATCTGTTTCTGCAAGTGAAGCTGATTTTTCAAGTCTGATATTTAGGAGAAAATTGCATTTTAATTTTTCTATGATAACAAAATCATTTCCATGCTTGATGTGTCGAGGGGAAAAGGCAGTTACTATACATGGAATCAGCAAAGTCTGTCCTGAGATGAGCATAAACACCAAAAACAATGATGTGGAGAGAAACAAATATTAACATGACTGGGCTGACTCCAGAATACAGTAGAATACTGTAAATAATCTGGTGCCAGCAAGATCCTGCTGGGGAAAGAAAGGAATTATTTTGATAACTTAGAAAGTAAAGGCTTCCCATCTTCATTCTGAGGCCAGAAATCATCTCCCCTTTAATCTCCAAGAGCAATAATTTCCCAAAACATGGCTACTAGAGCTAATGCTTTGTTGAGTGAAACACTGCTGGGAATCCAAGAAGCTAAATGCTTACCTCTTTTAATCTTTCCCAAAAATCAGAACATGGAGAACAACTTTAATGGGCAGCTCAGTGAAGACTCAAACCACTCTGAGATCAGGGTCAGCACCAACCCAAGGGAGGGCTCTGAGGACTGGAAAACCATCTGGGACTTCAAGACCGTGAGTAGCTGCCACCGTGGCACAAGAAAAATAGCAAGAGGCAAAAGATTTCTAAAAAACACCAAAGCTTCAATGAAATTTTGTCATCATATTTTAGAGGATGTGCTTGAAAATGTGTTCCTTCAGCCTTGGGGCTGTTTCTGGTGTGCTGCTTTAGCTTTCCAGCAGCAAACCCCTCCGTGTGCCCTGGGCAGGAGAACACATCATACACGTGGCACTGCTGGAGAAGGCAATTTTCCTTTTACCAAAGTCTCTTGTCAGCCTCCAGGACACATTTACCTAAACAATAAAATTGAAAGGAACAATATTTTTCTTTCCCTGTGATTATTTGCACTGTAGGAAGCCTTTCTTTTAGCCAGTGCCTCTCTCTAAAAACACACTTCTCTTTCTCTGGATATTTTTTCAACAAAAGGGGGTTTTGTTTCATTTGAACAGGGCTATGTTGCAACCAAGGTGTTTTCCAAGAACACCTGCATCATTGCTACAACCAGCAAGAGGTTTTGGCTTGGCAAACACTTTTCTGCACCTCTGCAGGTAGGTTGGTGGTTGAAATGAGGCAAAAGCTGATTGATTGTCAGTGAAAAGCATTTGTTCCTACACACACACAGGAGAAAAAGCTCCATGAACTGAAGAGAACCTTCTCAGCAGGGCTGAGTTGCTCTACAAGTCCTTTGAGAAGTTATATTGCCCAGGAATAACCCAGTTTCTGTTCAGCCTGGCCTTGGGCACTTCCAGGGCTGAGGCAGCCACAGCTTCTCTGGGCAACTTGTGCCAGGGCCTCCCCACCCTCATGGGTGAAGAATTTCCTCCCAGTATCCCATCTAACCTTGTCCTCCAGCAATGGGAAGCAATTTCTCCTTGTCCTTTCACTCCAGGCCCTTGCAAAGAGACCTGTCCAATCTTTTCCATTTGGGATACCGGAAGGCCACGATGATGGCACCCAAAGCTTCTCCTCTCCAGGATGAACAATCCCAATTCCCTCAGCTTTTCCTCACAGCAGGGCTGCTCCATCCCTCTGACCAGGCTGGTCCCAGTTCTCCTTCCTGTGCTGGGCCCCAGGGCTGGGGGGAGCTCTGCAGGTGGGGTCTCACCTGAGCAGAGGGGCAGGGTCCCCCCGGAGCTGCTGGGGTCAGCCCAGCACACGGGGGGGTCCTGGGGGTCCCCTGTCACCCACCAGGATCCCTCAGCCCAGCAAACGGGGGGTTCCTGGGGGTCCCAAGGCTGGGTTGTGCCCACCCTGTCACGCCCCAGGCCCTTCTGGGCAGGGCTGCTCTCCACATCCCCAGCGCTCAGCTCCAGGGCTGGATTTCCTAAATGCTGTTTTCTGGCTTTGTTTCTGTGATGTGAAGGGATCTGGGCCTCAGCAGCTGGCACCCCGGGAGAATCGCTTCCTCATCTCCAGGGACAGACTCCAAAGCTTGAGCCCATTTGGAAAACGCATCCAAGCCCTGTGCAGAGGAATTCCCTCTTACCTCGCTTACCCAGCTCCCGGTGAGTCTGCCACCGACATCCCTCCTGCTCCAAAACCAGGACAGGCCAACGGCATTCCAGATTCCAAAAAAGGATTCAAGCAAACAGGAGCGTGTCACTCACTGGAATCTCGTGATTTTCTGGTTTATCCATCCATGTGCACACGTGTAAGGAAACACAGCAGCTCCTTCACCTGACACACCTTCCCCTCAGGAAGCTCCTGGGCTCCAGCTCTTGACACAAAACTTGAATTTTTAGGCAACCAGTTAAAAGCATTTAGGCTACATTTTTTGTTTTTTTCATATTTTCTCAGCCCAAATCTAATTGTTTGGTTTTTTTCTTTCAGGATCAAACTTTTTAAGAGGATCAAACTTCTCATCAGGATCAAACTCCTCAGGGCGAGATGCTTCGTGATTGAAATTGAAGATTAATGAACTCCCTGCTTATTACTGATAAAGTTTACAGAAGAAAATTCATAGAACTGTGTACCCATGAGATTTTTCTCCTCGATAATCTTCTCTTGATTATATTTTCAATCATTTATCTTTCTTCTGCTCTGTGTGGAAGCTGTTGAGTCTCAGTAAAATTTATCATCAACCTACACTGCTCTGTGCCGCGTTTTTACAAACCCTTTGAAAAAGCAGAAGCGATTCAAAAGACAAATTGCAAAACTAACATCCTTGCAAAAATCCCAATTTTGGCATTTAAACCTCTTCCAGCACAACTTCCCAGGGAGAGCTCACGTGCTGCACTGAAAAATTATCCATCAATAAAAGAAGATTGTGTTATACTCACTGCATACCCCATAGTCAAGACACCATGAGATCACTATAACTGATATTTTGACTTCTAATTAATACAGTAAAACACAGCAATGTGACACAACCTAAAATGTTTTGTTTTAAAAATAAAGATTACCTTGCAATATGGCCAACTGCAAATAGACAGAAACACTGACCAGCCCAGGAACTGTATTGCAGACAAGAAAATTACAGAATACAGAACAGAATTGCACAAAGTTCTGCAAAACTGCTCCAACTTGGTGCACCCAGGAGGAAAAATCTGCCAAGAGCTGGGAAGGAATAAAGCTGGAAAGGTGAAAATGTCTCAGGGCTGCTTTGCCAAGATGCCCCAGCCCTCACCCCAGTATTTCAGTGGGTGCTATGGTGACCCGATAACGTGCAGTATATTTTGGAAGGTGGAAAGGCTTTCACATATTTTGTCCAATACAAAGCTTTTTATGTTCTTCTTTGAGCCCTAAGATATTTCCTGGCTTAAGTTTGATGTGAATTTTCAAGAGTAAATAGTACATGTTAGAAAAGTACTAAAAACATATTTAATTTTTCACTGCAAATGGATTTCTATTTGATAACTATCAGACTTGAGCAGGTCAAAATGCTCAGAAGTACAATCCTCATGTTTATCAAGTAGCTACACCAGGAAATAATTTTCAGGAACAAGTGACAGGGGAACAAATGACAAAATAATTTTGTTGCAACACTCAGCACTTCCACAGTGAATTCTGAAAACATATAAAAGGTGGAGGGCTCACACTGCTCTTTCTACCTGCAGGAGCATCAGCTCTGCAGTCAGGATGAATCTCTCTGTAAGTATGCATGCTTTTCTTCCTTAGAAACTCAAACTTTGATTTAAACCCATTCCTTTATCCCTCCCGAGGGTTTCTGCCCCTCTGGAGCACTGAGCCTTTCTCTGGGGACATTTTGCTCCTGCAGAAGGAGCAGCTCAGCCCCTGTCCCCCAGAGGAGCTGAGCAGGGGAGGATTTCTCCACGCCTTGGCTGTCCATTATTCAGCAAACAGAAATCCCAGCCCGTGCCCATCCCTGCCAAGGCTTCTGCACAGCTGCAGCAGTGCTCTGCTGGATCCAGCCCTTCCCTGCAGTGCCAGAGCACAAGGAATGGAAAAGCTTTCCATTTCCAAACAAGCTGAGATTCAGCTCTTGACAGAGCAAGAGGAAAATGTGTCTGGGGTAAAGCAAGGGTGATTCCCTTTGGGGCACTGGGGCAATCCCAGGATGAAAGCAAGAAAGGATCCAAGGAGGACCCTGAACCTTCAGATGAGGAAAAGGGAAGGAGGCTTCTCATGGCCAGATTTGTCAGGCAGAGCTGCAGTTACACTTTTGGATTTGATTTTCATTTCAGATTTTGACTGCAGTCCTCCTTGGGCTGGTCCTGCATCCAGCCCTCGCTCTATACGTGAGTACAGTGACCAATCTCCCCATGCATGACTGCTCTGCCTCTGTTCCCTGCTTCATGCTTCTCCATTCTCCTTGATTCTTTCTCCACCACTTTCAAGGAAAATAACCGAAGTCTTCTCAAGCAGATGAAACTCTAAAGGCACCAGATGGCAGGAGTAGGATGCAGCAACGATTCATGAAATCCTTGAAAGGAATTCTTACAGCTTTCTTGCTCGATGCCAATGCCTTGGTTCAGGGTCTATTTGAAAACACTGAGGGCACAGCTGGCTTTAGCTGGGGGGAGAGAACTTCTTTTATCATAGCAAGAGTTTATTTAAAAGCACTGGAGACAACACTGACAAATGTTGCCATCTAAAAGTGCCCCGTTGGGTTTTGCAGTCTCAGAAGACAAGTCAAAATGGGCAAATCATCTTTGGTCAAGACTCCCAGATCACTATCACCGGTATCTCACAAGGCGTGAGGATCAACAGTCAAACAAGGGTGGTAATAATTGAGCAAAAGACCAGAAATTTATCATGGAAAACCATCTGGAACTACAACAGGGTAAGTGGAAGGGATGGGGATTGTTGAAAATGTGGCCCAGGGATTGGGCTTGTTTCAGTATTCTGATCATCAGAATTTAACAATGTGGGGTAGAAATTCTGGGAATTTGATACAGTTTTCACCCTGACTTCAACCCAAACTCAACAGCTGGAAAAACTGAACTGTGAATGCTAAATGCTTTTCTTTTCCAGGGCATCATTGCAACCAAAGTCACACAACAGAACGCCTGCTACATTTCTGCCATGAACAGAAATGAGATCCCCAGTTTTGATAATCTGGCCCGCCTGGCTGCAGAGAGGAGGGTAAGATTCCAAAAGAGAAGCAGGTTCTTGCATTTAAGTCCACGTGGTGGTTTCTTCATGGGCTTTTTCTTTCTGGAGAGGACCAGGCTGTCTCCAGTGGCAGGATTTCCAGCCTCTCAACACCAATGCAGATTGGAAATTTGTTGCAGGGTTCTGAGGGGCAAGGGCAGAACCCAAATGCTTTGGAGGGAGCCCTGGCTACACAGAGGGGCTTCAGTTCTCCTCTTCAGCACTTTCCTGGCACTTCCACTCCCCCCAGCCCCCTGTCCTTCACTCCCTGAGAACAAGCCCTGCCTTTGCAGCTGCCTTCAAGGCTTGCTAAACCCCCCAGGAGATAAAAAGGTGCCCCTAAAGGCCCTTTGGAATCCAGGTCCCAGCCCCGAGTCACCATTCCAGAGCGAGGAATAAGCACAGCTCCCAGCAATGTTCCTGCTGAATGCCAATTTTTGATGTTTAGAACCAGATCGGCCTTGGAAGAGCCAGCAGGAGGATCACCTTTGTCACCAACGGACTGGTCAACAACCTCAGCTCCTACGGCATGGACATCATGGCCATGTGCAGTGGAGTCACCACCTACAGGGCTCAGCAAGTTCACGGTGAGTGCAAGCACGACAATCCTGACTCTTCCTCAGCTGCCCTTTTTGCCCTTTTGTGGGGCTTGGCTAAGGCACGATTGCTGCTCTTGCCCCTGGGCTCGCACACAAACCAAGGCCTTCAGCGCTTGCACCAAGGCTTCGGCACCTCCGCACGTCAGGACTGCAACAGGGTGGGCGATTTTCTCTTTTCTTTCCCAGTTTTCCAAGGGCTCCAGGTGAATCTGGGATCCTGCATCACCCTCGATGTGCTGAGAGTTGTGGAGCTCAAGTACTGCAATGGCAATGGCAACTGGAATCAGAACTGGACTGGCCAGTGGGATCACAACTGGAATGGCAACTGGACTGGACAGTGGGATCACAACTGGAATCACAACTGGACCGGCAATTTCCCGGTGAGAAAACCTTTGCCCTTTCCTCTCTTCAACCAAGTGCAGGGGGCTCCCGAGCTGCTGCCCAAAGCCAAGCTTGGTGTCCTTCTTCCCTGGCTTCTGCACTGCTCCCATTGTGGCAGGGACGATGGGAACCTTTGGGGACATCACTGTCTCCCTTCAAGGGCCAAACCATTCCTTTCCTTTGCCTTTCTAGACTCAGCAGATTCCCGGCGGCATCTTCAACCACACGCAAGTCATCATTGGTGGCCATAACCAAATTGTGACCATCAACAGGCAATGGCGCGTGGCAATCATTGAGCACAAGAGCATCAGCGGCTCCTGGAAAACCATCTGGAACTACAACACGGTGAGTGGCAGGGAGGCTGCTCCTTGCAAAAGCGGCCCAGGAGACCGGCTCCTGGTAGAGCCGGCCCAGGGACGGCCACTGATTCCTTCTTCTCCGTGCTTGGAGTCCACCATGCGGGCTCCAATCTCTCAGCGGGGCTTATGCTTTCCATCCTGACTTCATGCCACCATGGACAGCTGGACAAAGCTGACTGCTGACTGCTGAATCATTTCCTTGCGCAGGGCGTCATTGCAACCAGAGTCAGGCAGCAGAACGCCTGCTACATTTCCATCATGAACAGAAGCGAGATGCCCCGCTTTGATAATCTGGCGCGGCTGGCACAAGAGAGCAGGGTAAGGTTCCAAAGGAGGAGCAGGTTGCTGAGCCCGGCCATCATCCGGCCTTTGCTCCACGCGCCTGCTGAATGAACGCTGCTTCTTCATGTTTAGAACCTGATCGGCCTTGGAAGAGCCAGCAGGAGGATCACCTTTGTCACCAACGGACTGGTCAACAACCTCAGCTCCTACGGCATGGACATCATGGCCATGTGCAGTGGAGTCACCACCTACAGGGCTCAGCAAGTTCACGGTGAGTGCAAGCACGACAATCCTGACTCTTCCTCAGCTGCCCTTTTTGCCCTTTTGTGGGGCTTGGCTAAGGCACGATTGCTGCTCTTGCCCCTGGGCTCGCACACAAACCAAGGCCTTCAGCGCTTGCACCAAGGCTTCGGCGCCTCCGCACGTCAGGACTGCAACAGGGTGGGCGATTTTCTCTTTTCTTTCCCAGTTTTCCAAGGGCTCCAGGTGAATCTGGGATCCTGCATCACCCTCGATGTGCTGAGAGTTGTGGAGCTCAAGTACTGCAATGGCAATGGCAACTGGAATCAGAACTGGACTGGCCAGTGGGATCACAACTGGAACCACAACTGGACTGGCCAGTGGGATCACAACTGGAATGGACAGTGGGATCACAACTGGAATCAGAACTGGACTGGACAGTGGGATCACAACTGGAATGGCCAATGGGATCACAACTGGAATGGCAACTGGACTGGCCAGTGGGATCACAACTGGAATCACAACTGGACCGGCAATTTCCCGGTGAGAAAACCTTTGCCCTTTCCTCTCTTCAACCAAGTGCAGGGGGCTCCCGAGCTGCTGCCCAAAGCCAAGCCTGGTGCCCTTCTTCCCTGGCTTCTGCACTGCTCCCATTGTGGCAGGGACGATGGGAACCTTTGGGGACATCACTGTCTCCCTTCAAGGGCCAAACCATTCCTTTCCTTTGCCTTTCTAGACTCAGCAGATTCCCGGCGGCATCTTCAACCACACGCAAGTCATCATTGGTGGCCATAACCAAATTGTGACCATCAACAGGCAATGGCGCGTGGCAATCATTGAGCACAAGAGCATCAGCGGCTCCTGGAAAACCATCTGGAACTACAACACGGTGAGTGGCAGGGAGGCTGCTCCTTGCAAAAGCGGCCCAGGAGACCGGCTCCTGGTAGAGCCGGCCCAGGGACGGCCACTGATTCCTTCTTCTCCGTGCTTGGAGTCCACCATGCGGGCTCCAATCTCTCAGCGGGGCTTATGCTTTCCATCCTGACTTCATGCCACCATGGACAGCTGGACAAAGCTGACTGCTGACTGCTGAATCATTTCCTTGCACAGGGCGTCATTGCAACCAGAGTCGGGCAGCAGAACGCCTGCTACATTTCCATCATGAACAGAAGCGAGATGCCCCGCTTTGATAATCTGGCGCGGCTGGCACAAGAGAGCAGGGTAAGGTTCCAAAGGAGGAGCAGGTTGCTGAGCCCGGCCATCATCCGGCCTTTGCTCCACGCGCCTGCTGAATGAACGCTGCTTCTTCATGTTTAGAACCTGATCGGCCTTGGAAGAGCCAGCAGGAGGATCACCTTTGTCACCAACGGACTGGTCAACAACCTCAGCTCCTATGGCATGGACATCATGGCCATGTGCAGTGGAGTCACCACCTACAGGGCTCAGCAAGTTCACGGTGAGTGCAAGCACGACAATCCTGACTCTTCCTCAGCTGCCCTTTTTGCCCTTTTGTGGGGCTGGGCTAAGGCACGATTGCTGCTCTAGCCCCTGGGCTCGCACACAAACCAAGGCCTTCAGCGCTTGCACCAAGGCTTCGGCGCCTCCGCACGTCAGGACTGCAACAGGGTGGGCGAATTTATCTTTTCTTTCCCAGTTTTCCAAGGGCTCCAGGTGAATCTGGGATCCTGCATCACCCTCGATGTGCTGAGAGTTGTGGAGCTCAAGTACTGCAATGGCAATGGCAACTGGAATGACAACTGGACTGGCCAGTGGGATCACAACTGGAACCACAACTGGACTGGACAGTGGGATCACAACTGGAATCAGAACTGGACTGGCCAGTGGGATCACAACTGGAATCAGAACTGGACTGGACAGTGGGATCACAACTGGAATGGCCAGTGGGATCACAACTGGAATCAGAACTGGACTGGCCAGTGGCAGAACAACTGGAATAACGATTGGAATGACAACATCAATGGCAATTGGAATGGAAAGTGGAATATCACTGGCAACTGGAATGGAAATTGGCCGTGCAATTTCCCGGTGAGAAAACCTTTGCCCTTTCCTCTCTCCAACCAACTGCAGGGGGCTCCCGAGCTGCTGCCCAAAGCCAAGCCTGGTGCCCTTCTTCCCTGGCTTCTGCTCTTTTCAGAGCTTCCTGCTTGAGACTGCAAATGCTCACCCAGTGCTATGGGGGAGCAGAGGTTTCTATCCAAGAGCTTGAGTGTGGATTTTCTCTGGCCACTGCTCTTGCTCTCCTCAGCCTCTGAAGGCAGCAGCTGACAGCTGTCAGATGTGGCAGTCAATCACTGACACCATGGAGAGACTTCTCACGGCTTTTGCCAGACACCACGGCCTATTTCCTGTTTTTTATTTAAAATATCTTCTCCTCATTTCAAAACAGATCTCCACCGCCCTCTCTGCCTGAATCAGAGTCCCTATTGTTTTCTTGCACCCATTTTTTGTAAATATATGATGTGAGACTTACCTCCTCGCTCAGTCTGATCATATTTCATAAGGTTTTCTTGTCTCAGCAGAACTGCAACAACCAACAAATCATCCCTGGTCAAGGTTCCCACATCTCCATCTCCGGTGTCTCACAAAGCATGAGCGTCAGTAGCCAAACAATGGAGGCAATCATTGAGCAAAAGAGCAACAGAATTTCCTGGAAAACCATCTGGAACTACAACACGGTGAGTGCCAGGGGAGGGCCTTGTGCAATAAAAAGGATTGAAGGAGATTGGCTCCTCATTCAACATCCCCAGTGATGGGGATTATTTTCTTCTTCTTAAATTTTGCAGTCCATGATATGGGGTAGAAATTGTCAGCTTGTGTTATTGTTTCAATCCAAACTTTATACCAATGTTAACAGTTGGAAACAACTGTGCTGTGAGTGCTCAATAATTTCATTTTGCAGGGTATCATTGCAACAAAAGTGATGCAAACGAGGACGTGCTACATTTCCACCATGAACAGGAGTGAGATGCCCACCTTCGCTGCGCTGCTCAGAGTGGCTGCAGAGAGAAGGGTAAGAATTTAATGGAGGAATCACTTGGAGTGTTGCTCAGTGTTTGAAAATAAACAGATGTGGAAAACTGTTATTTTCAAAGACTTTTAAACCATTAGGCACTCAGAAGTTATTTATATCACGCTATTAATTATGTAGTTTAACTTATTTAGATTTATATTTTATTTATATCACGCTATTAATTATGTAGTTTAACTTATTTAGATTTAGATTTTATTTTAAAGGGTTAAAAATAAGCTCTTTTAGGCGAAGGTTTCTCATTTTTAATTAATGTTGTAGATATCCTGGGTAATTTTTACATTTTTTGCAATGAGTTTTTAATAGTCTCTTATGACCCTTTTTAATAATCTCTTACGACCCAAGAGCGTAGATGTTTGCTAAGGTACCCTTTATAATATTCCATTTAGATTTTATAATTATATAAAATTATATATAAATATATATATAAAATTATATATAATTAATAAGATTTATAATATTTCATTCCATAATCTTCAGGCAAACTGGAGACACCAGTGGCAGGATTTCCAGCCTCCCAACACCAATGCAGATTGGAAATTTGTTGCAGGGGCTCTGAGGGGCAAGGGCAGAACCCAAATGCTTTGGAGGGAGCCCTGGCTACACAGAGGGGCTTCAGTTCTCCTCTTCAGCACTTTCCTGGCACTTCCACTCCCCCCAGCCCCCTGTCCTTCACTCCCTGAGAACAAGCCCTGCCTTTTGCAGCTGCCTTCAAGGCTTGCTAAACCCCCCAGGAGATAAAAAGGTGCCCCTAAAGGCCCTTTGGAATCCAGGTCCCACCCTGAGTCACCATTCCAGAGCGAGGAATAGGCCCAGCTCATACCACCCATCTTGCTGAATTTTTATGTTTAGAATTTTTATGTTTTTATGATTTTCATCTTTAGAACCTGATGAACCTTGGAAGACCCAGCAGGAGGATCACCTTTGTCACCAATGGGCTGGTCAGCAACCTCAGCTCCTACGGGGCACACGTCATCTCCATGTGCAGTGGGCTCCCCACCTACAGGGCTCAGGAGGTTCAGGGTGAGTGCAAACAAAGGAATTCCTTCTCTGAGTGCCCTGGAATTTGTTTCCCTTGGGGGAATGAGCAATTGCTGCTTTTCCACTTTGAGATGCACAGAAAACTTTGGGCTTCAGCGGCTGGACAAAGGGTTTGATATCCCCACAGCTCAGGACTGAATCAAGCTGAGTCACAGCCCTATAAATGACCTGATCTATCTCATCACCACCCCTTGCTGTGAGGTTAATCTGGTTTAGGTTATTGTGCAGGATTTTACCCGTTGAGATCCTCTGCAATGCTTCCAGGAAGAGAAAGGGCAGCTCCAGGTACCAATGTTCTCTCATTTCTGTACCACAGACCCAGTGTGGTTTCATCACTTCAGAGAGACTTTGTCTATTAAATCATTTCTTATTAGGAATTATGGACAGCCTAGTTCACCTCAAACAACAAAAACGAGCTGTCATTGATCAGCTAAGAACATTCTCCCTAAGAACTGATTGTGATTTTCTGTTTGTTTTTTTAAAGGACCCCTGTACAACCAACAATCCTGCACCACCCTCGACATCCTGAGACTTGTGGAGCTGAGGTACTGCAGTGGCCATGGACACATCCTGAACTGAGATCCAGCCCTCAGAGGCCCCAAACCAACCCTGATCCTGTTCTTCCCTGACATCCCCTCTTCCAAGAGTTTTGTTCTTGATGGTTCAGATGCTGAAACACATCATTTGTTGACTAGTGCTTCCAATTAAAAACCTTTTGCATAGATAACCTCTGGCTGGTTTCTCATTGCTCTAGCCTTCAATCATCTTTGAAACTTCCATGGAAATGTTTGGATTGTCTCCCCTCTGCCCCATTTGAGCCCTTCAAATGCTCTTTCCAGGACAGAGAGCTGGGCAAGCCCAGGCTGTGTCTGGCACACAGGCACTCACACTCAGCACCTTCCTTCCCTGGTTGGGGAAAGATGCCTCACATTACAAATCTTGATTCAGGGGGCACAAAAGGCAGAAAGAAAGAAGGGCAAAGCAGTGAATTTGCCTTTTTTAGGGGAAGGGGAGTCTCCTTTGTGGGATTTACAGAGTTGTTCTGTTCCTAAAACAAGGCAAAGCTGGGATTCCTGTGCTCTGCTGCTGATTAAAATTTCTTTTTTCCATTTTAAAGCAGTTTTGAATGCATTGAGCTCACCACGAGCAGTTTTCTCTCCCTTCCCTGTGTGCAGTGAATTCAATCAGGCAGGTATCAAAGCCTCATCTTATCAGAGCACTTCCCCAGGAAACTCGTCATGCTTCTGTGAACACAGGGCACCTGCCAATAAGGCAAACCCATTTTCAGATTTAACTTTGGGATATTATGTATAAAAAGTAAGAGTACACATCAATTACCAGCAGAGCTGGCCTGGCCTACCATCCAAATGAAGTTTTGTAAGTATTACCTATCACTTTCTCATTAAACTCTTAAGGCTGGGCAGCTTTTAAATGCTTTTTTTCTCATCAAAATCCTATAAAATGAAAGTTTGGAGCAATTCCATGTCCAAGGGAATGTCTCCATGATAATTACAGTTCACAACAGTTAACACAAATGAATTTATCATCATAACAAATAATTCTCCTGCATGCTTTAAATCCTCTTCAGCAGAAAGTGCTGAGCCTGTACAAAAATAAACTGCAATTCAGAACTGTTTTAAGGCAGAAAATAACTTGATGCAAGATAAGCAGTCCCAGTGTTAAAATGTGAATTTCAAATGCTCCTTTCTGTGATTGCTTCTCTTCTCAGAGCTTTCCTGGTTCCAGCTCTTGCTGCCAGGGTGTTGTGAATGAGTGGTTTCAGCCACTTAAAGAATCACCAGAACAGCCACTGGCAAAAGCAGGTTTTAACATGAGTTTGTGAGAGTGGAAATGAACAGAATCCAATGGCAAGGGTTACTCTATTGCTCACTGCACAGCTGAAACCTGCAAGGGAAAATCAAATTAAAATGGCTTTAGAGTGGCACACACAGTCCAGGGGTACAAAGGGTGAGGGTGCAAATGATTTAAGAGTATTTAATCACTGACTCATTTACAAGGTGAATCAATAGCATTCAGTTACAACAAAGGCTGAAATACAGATTCAAGATAGCGACGTTCATGCCCTGATCCCTCCTGGTGCACACACACAGCCCACATCCATATCTATGTGTGCAAAAGTACCTGTTAAAAATTCCCCTGGAGTTCACTGGAACGGGTCAAATGCCTTTGCATTTCCCAGGGGGTGAGGGCTGAGGCTCGAGGAGTGGGGAATTCTCCAGAATTCCTCAGAAAAAGCCTTTTGGGAATTGCAAAGCTGAGGGTTTCAAGCTCCAGGAGTCATCCCCACCCCACGAGCTGAGGGTGGGTCCCAGTGCAGGGCCCCCCTTGGCACTGCTGTTCCTGGAGCCAGGGGAGGATTGTCCTCATTCCCTGGGAGATTTCCAGCTCTCCTGGCCTATCCCAAGCTCCCAACAATGGTTCTGCTCCACTCAGGCTGTGACACAGGCAGATAAAGCTCAGGTAACCAATATTCCTGCTACAATCAGTGTCACTCCCACGTTCCCCTCCTGCTACGGTCACCAGCACCAGGTCAGGGTAAAACCTGGATGTGAAGCCCCAGCAGCACTGGCAGCTCCCTGAGGCCAGAAATCATCTCTCATCTGATCCCCAGGAGCAGTAATTCCCCAAAACACAGCTTTGAGAGCAAAAGCTTCACTGAGTGAAACCCTGCTGGGAATCCTCACCTCCTTTGATCCATTCCAAAAATTGGAACGCCAGCAAAAGCTGCAAAGAGCACCAAAATGAAAGTTCACATCACTCAGTCAGGGGTTAAGCTTGAGCAGGAGAACACAGCACACAAATGGCATTGCTGGAGAAGGAAATAAAACCTATTTCATTTTTTTTTTTTTGCCTACCAACAGATTCCTGCCTCACAATCGTCAGGTCAAAATCTTCAAAAGTAAAATCCCCGTGTTTATCAAGTAGCTACACCAGGAAATCATTTCCAGGGACAAGTGACAGGGAAACAAATGAAAAAATAATTTTATTGCAGCATCCAGCCCCTCCACACCTAATTCTGAAAACAAATAAAAGGTGGGAGGCTCACATCATTTATTCTGCCTTCTGCAGCATCAGCTCTGCAGCCAGGATGAATCTCTCTGTAAGTATGCATGCTTTTCTTCCTTAGAAACTCAAACTTTGATTTAAACCCATTCCTTTAATCCCAGCCCGTGCCCATCCCTGCCAAGGCTTCTGCACAGCTGCAGCAGTGCTCTGCTGGATCCAGCCCTTCCCTGCAGTGCCAGAGCACAAGGAATGGAAAAGCTTTCCATTTCCAAACAAGGAGGACCCTGAACCTTCAGATGAGGAAAAGGGAAGGAGGCTTCTCATGGCCAGATTTGTCAGGCAGAGCTGCAGTTACACTTTTGGATTTGATTTTCATTTCAGATTTTGGCTGTGGTCCTCCTTGGGCTGGTCCTGACCCCAGCCCTTGCTGAGCAGGTGAGTACAGTGACCAATTTCCACGGGCACGGCTGCTCCATGTTCCCTGTCCAAGAGATCTCTTTCATTTCTCCAAAGCCTGGGGACGATAATCACTGCAAAGCCCCAGTGTTCCTTCATTTGTTTTTCTAGCATCAACAGACTGAGGTGAGCAAGAAAATCTCCATTGGTGGAGCCTACCAAATCCTGACCATCAATAGGAAATGGCTGGTGGCAAGCATCGAGCAGAAGAGCAACCATGGATCCTGGAAAACCGTCTGGAACTATGACACAGTGAGCAGAGAGAGGGGGCTTCAGAGACTGCCTCATACAGTCAGCAAAAACTGGCTAATTACTATTTAAAATATGTATAAAACCCCAATATTAATGATCAAATGCTCAATAACTTTATTTTACAGGGCTTTATGGCCACCAAAGTGCTGCCAGAGAGAGCTTGCTACCTTTCCATAATGAACAGAACAGAGATGCCCAGCTTTGATGCTCTCCCCCAGCTGGCTGCAGACATCAGGGTAAGGCTGAAAATGAGCAGGGAAAGTTGTCATTAATGCAAATTAAATTGGGATGGGAGACCTTGCTGTTCTCAAAACCAACAGGCACTTCAAATATCAGGTTCATCAAACCATCAGCTAGATGTTTTTATCAATTTCAGTGACATTTTACAGCAATGCAATTTCATTCAAAATTGGAATGCTCTTGCTCAGATGCATGGAGGGTTTAAATGTTTGTAGCTCAGATTATTCTTAAAATGTTCATAACAACTAAAACTAGGAATATTCCTGAGGTTAAATGGCTCAGGGCACTGATCTTGCTGAATGCTGTGATTTGATGTTATTTTGATCTGATTAGAACCAGAATCATCCAAGAGCTCCTGCAAAGGAGATCACCTTCACCCTCGTCAGGAGAATTATTCGTGACCTCGTTTCATACGGACCAGACATTTTCTACACGTGCAGGGGACTCTCAACTTTCGTGGCTTACCAAGTTCAGGGTGAGTGAAAGCAGAGAAATTCTTACATTACCAAGTCCAAGATGAATGAAAGCAGAGAAATTCTGTCTCTGGGTGAGCTGACATTTATTCCTTGGGGATTCACAATTGCTGCTCTTCCAGCACAGGTGACAGAAACCAAGGGTCTGTGCCAGGTGTTAAAGGCTGGCACTGAATTATTGAACATTTAACATTTAATCCTGCTCTGTGTCTCCTGGTAATTGTTTTTCTTTTGTTTTTGAAGGACCACAGCTCGACCTGGGATCGTGCATCAAACTCGATGTCCTTCAGTACCTGGCCCTCACGTACTGCCACAATGACAACTTTGTGTAAATCATACCTGTCCTCATCCCAGCTGCAGCTGCTGTCCCAAACCAATCCTGAGTTATTCCCTGGCATCTCCTCTTCCATCACCTTCCTTCCTGAGGGTTTAGTGAAACAGATCAATTGGTGAGCAGAGCTATCAATTAAATTCCTTAATCACGGATTAACTCTGGCTTGTTTGTCGTTCCTCTACCCTTTTCCATCTGAGAACATCTCCATGAAAATGTTCTGTCCCATTTCCAGTGCTCAGCACACCCAGAGAGCCCAGGCTGTGTGTGGTACACAGGGCACCCACAGCCAGGACCTTCCTTCCCTGCTCAGGGAAAGATTCCTCACATTAAAAGTTTGGATTCAGGGGGAACAAAAGGCAGAAGCAAAAAAAAAAGTGCAAAGCAGTGAATTTACCTTTTTCAGGGGGAAGAGGAGTCTCCTTTGTGGGATTTACAGAGTTGTACTGTTCCTGCCATAAAGCAAGGCTGGAATTCCTGTTGCTCAAATCTTTACAATCAAGATTATTTCCTCTTTAACAAAAATGAGCTGAGGCACTCAATGCCATCAAAGCACTGAGCTGTGCAGGAGCCTCATCACCCTCCGGGCAGGTCTGGACCAGCCAAGGGCAGCCACTGGAGGTGATTCCACCCCAGGGAGCTCTTGGGCCCTTGAAAAATCAGAGCAGGGAAGAGAATAAAATCCTCTCGGCCGCTGAGTGTCAGCCTGGAGCTGCAGAACTGAGAGGGAAAAGGGACCCGAGTCCCATCCCGAGCCCAGCTCTGCTCTGCCGGCACCAGGAGACGGCAGGGGCGTCCAGTTCCAGCTGTGCCCAGCTCCAGCTGTGCCCCGTTCCAGCTGTGCCCCGCTCCAGCTGTGCCCCGTTCCAGCTGTGCCCCGTTCCAGCTGTGCCAGTCCCAGCTGTGCCAGTTCCAGCTGTGCCCAGCTCCAGCTGTGCCCCGTTCCAGCTGTGCCAGTCCCAGCTGTGCCCCGTTCCAGCTGTGCCCCGTTCCAGCTGTGCCCCGTTCCAGCTGTGCCCAGTCCAGCTGTGCCCAGTTCCAGCTGTGCCCAGTTCCAGCTGTGCCCCGCTCCAGCTGTGCCCAGCTCCAGCTGTGCCCCGTTCCAGCTGTGCCCCGTTCCAGCTGTGCCCCATTCCAGCTGTGCCCGTTCCAGCTGTGCCAGTTCCAGCTGTGCCCCATTCCAGCTGTGCCCAGCTCCAGCTGTGCTCGCCACACGAAGAATCCGAGCTCCAGCTTCAGTTCAGGGTATTTTAAAGCCAAACTGAAGGCTTTGATCAGCTCAGGGCTTTGATCAGCTCAGGGCAGCCTGACTCAGGTGCACCCCTTAAACCCCTCTGGAGCTGCTCTGCTCAGCAGGTGTTGGGGATTTGGGAATTTGGGGATTTGGGGATTTGGGGGTGGCCCAGGGCTCTGCCAGGGAGGTTTGGGAGCTCCTGGTGCCTCCAGGTTCACTTTTGCAGGTGCAGGGGATCCCTCACTGGGGAATTCTGCCCCTTTTGAGCTGCTCTGCTTTCAGAGCCTGTGCAAGGAAACGAGAGGTGAGTGGAGAGGAATTCACATTTTCCATTGGGTTTCCCTGGAAGAGGCAGAGTTTAGGCTTTAGAGGCTGCAGTGAGGACGGTGACTTGGGACAGACTTTCACAAGCACAAATACTCCTCAGGACTGGGAAAACACAGGGCATGGAGCCTGGAATGGCTTTTCACTTCTGTGTTTAAGGGGTTTTAAACCCAGGGGGTTCCTGTGTGGGGGGCAAAGAGGTCTCTGCACTTCTCCTGTGTCTGAAAATGCAGTGACAGGACAAGGGGAGCGGCCCTGAGATGGAGGAGGCCGGGGTTGGAAGGGAATTCTTCCCTCCGAGGCTGGGGTGGAATCCCCAGAGCAGCTGGGGCTCGCCTGGACCCCTGGCAGTGCCCGAGGGACAGGGCTGGGATGGGATTCAGGTTCATCCTCCTGTCCCAGTCCTGGGGCTGCTCAGAGCTCAGATCCACTGCACACCAGAGGCTGCTCCACGAGATGGCATCCTCTGAGCTCCTCCTGCTCAGCAGCAGCACAGCTTGCCATCTTTAATAATAACAATAATAATTAAGTGTGTGGGGAGGGAAGCCACGAGCCCTCCCTGGGTTTTCTGAAGTCTTTGTGAGGATCTGGGAGGAGGGAGGCTGCTCCTGCTCTCACCAAACAACGCTGCTGCTCCCCAAGAGCTGCCACAGACCGAGGGTCCCTTTAAAAGAAAAAAAAAAAAACCCAGTGAAATACAGCATTGTGCATCCTGAAATCTGAAACCAAGAAACAGAAGCGAAGGGGAAACAAGGGGGAAAGTCTGGCAATTCCCGTGGACAACTGCTGCAGCGGAGTTTTGAGGAATTCCATTTACATTTACACCTTTTAAAGGTCCTTGGATGGCTTTGGTGGGGAAAGCTGTGAAATAAAGGAGCCTCGGAAGAAGAGATTTCTTTTTCTCCTGCTCTCTGGATATAATGGCCATTGCAAAACAAAGCATTGTGAGATTTGGCTTCAAGTGTGTGTTCCTGGCAGTTTTTACCCTCACCTGTGATGGGCACGGTGGGAAGAGAGAGAACGGGGGTCCTGCCTGCTACGGAGGCTTTGATTTGTATTTCATTCTGGACAAGTAAGTCAGTCTGACTTTGTTCTTTTGCATGGTCTGGAGAGGCACACGAGGCTGTTGAGGAGGTTTGGGGTTTGTAGAAGTGTCCCCAGGGGACCTCTGCCACTCCTGCCTTGTTTTTGTGGTGACTTTGGTGGCTCCAAATATCCTGCTGCTCTCCCATGGCTGGAAACCTCCAGCACCAGAGCTTTGTGTGCTCTGGAGTTGGGTAAAGCAGCCCCCTGGTTCTGCCCTGGATTCCTGGGGAGCTTGAGGCTCCCAGGAGAGCAGAGTTATTCCAGGGAATTTGGAATTGGGGAGATGCAGGCAGCAGTTCCAGGGGATTTGGAATTGGGGAGATGCAGGCAGCAATTCCAGGGGATTTGGAATTGGGGAGATGCAGGCAGAGCTCACTCTCAGCTTTGCTCCTTCCCCTCTGCCCCCTGAGCTGTGTCCCTGTCCCTCTGCCCCCTCAGCCGTGCCCAAAGCAGCAATTCCAGGGAAAATCCAGCCCTGAGAGGGGCTACACCCTTCACAAGGGATGGAGAGCAGCTCCAGCACCACCTTTAAACTGCTTTATTTCCCTGGCTGAGTCACACTCTCTTTGTTTCTTCTCTTAATGAAATGCATCTTTTGCCTGTTCAGCTGTTTGTGCTGAGTCCCTGCCTCACTTTTTCATCCCCAATTGTGGCAGTTTCACCTCCTTGGCATTGCAGGAGCGTTGCTTTTTTTCAGATGTGGATGGAGCAACGTGGAATCATTTTGTGCTGAGCTTCGGGAAGCTCCACACTAAAGCAATACACCAATCTTTAAAAAAAACCCCCAAAAAACCATAAAAAACACTGGCTGAAAGGATTCTCCTGATTTCCTTGACCAAGAGCCGTTATTTGGAACCAAAGGTTTGGAAATTCTGGAGGTGATTCCTGCCAGAGCCGTGGCACTGACCATAATCACCATAAATCTCAGAGACAGGAAAGTATTTGCACGTTGCCAAGAGCCCTCACAGATGAAGTTTCTGCCTGATCCTCTGGAGTGTTTTGCAGTAGCTCCCACATTCCATTTGTATCATTTACTTGGAATTCCATATTTATTGCAGAATACTGGGTAAAAATCAAAGCGTGAGGCAGTGGCTGCCTCAGTGTGCCAGTCCTGGTGCTCCAGGGAAAAGATTTATTCCTTTTATTCAGTGGAAAGATCCACCTGGCTTGTTCATTTTGCTGCTCTGCAGTTATTAGGGTTGGGTTATTAATTAGGGTTGTTAGGGTTAGTTATTAATTGGAATAACTCTGTTGCTACAAACCCCAAACAAACCCACAGCGTGATTTGTGCTGCTTTTCCCTGGAAGCTGAAGCAGGATTGAAGGATTTCTCAGACCTCATGGTCGTGCTGTGTTTCCCCTCTCAGCTCATGCAACCTCAGCAGGCCCCAAAGTTCACCAAAATCCACGATTCCCATTTTTTCACATCCACCAGAACTCCCATTCCCGGGGTTCTGCTGGTGCAGGAATGATACAACAATTCTGATATAACAATTTCCTTGCTCTCCAGTGGAGCCTTGAGTGTCTCCAGCTGTTCCTGAGGGCAGTGCACCACTTCAAATTGCTTGTTTAACCCCTGATGGGAGATTTACTGTGGAGGGGCTGGTTATTTATAAAATAGAGTTGGATATATAGATATAATCATTATATTTATATATCTCACATATCCTTTAACACTTTCATGGAATCACAGACTGCTTTGAGTTGGGAGATCTTTAAAGATCTTGTGTTTCCATGCCCTGGCTGAGGAACCCTCCACAGACCATTCCTCTTGTCCTTTGATGGCAAAATCTCAATTTCCCTCCCTCCCCTGGGGCAGAGCTGCGAGCTGGGGAATTCAGCTGATTTCACACAGAATTCAGAATTCAGCTGCTCTCAGAGGAACAAACACAAAGCTGGGGATGCTGAGGAGATCCAGAACCAGCCCTGCTCCTCCCTGAGCCAGGCTTTGTTCCAGGATCACAGATCTGCCTCCAGAGCAAGGTGTGGGTTCTGCTGGGGTGGCAGGAGCCTGGCAGGATGTGCAGGGATGATTTTTCTCTGCGTTAGGGATGCCAGCAAGGCAGGGTGGAGAAATTTGTGCATTTCTGTGTCTTTTTCTTGTTGCCTGAAGGAATGTAATTAACTCAAACTCTGCCCAGGGCAGGCAGCTGCAGCGAGCTGAGCTCGTGTGTGAAATCCCTGCCAGTCAGAACCTGTGGAAATGAGGTTTTTAATCCAGTGATGCAGCTTAGAAAACCATTCCTTGGTGAAGGAGTGGGCAGGAATCCCTTCCAGCCAGGGCTGAGTGAGCTCTCTGCTCTTTTTCTGCTGATTGGTGGAAATTAAATCTGTGAAAAACGAGGTTCACATCATTTTTATAGAATTTAAACTAAAAAAAAAAAAAAAATTAGGAGAAAAAAATAAATATACTTATAAATATTTATATAAATATATAAAGAAATATTTATAAATATTTATATATAAAAACATATATACAGATAGGGCCGGGTGTCTCTGCATTCACCTCACTGACA